TTTTTCCCTTGAAGTATAATTTACAATGTTGTATTAGTTTCAGGTGTACAGCAAAGTGATTCAGGTATATATATGTACTTTTTCAGATTCTTTTCCGTTATAGGTTATTATAAGATATTGAATATAGTTCCCTGTGCTATACAGTAGGTCCATGTTGTTTACCTATTTTATATATAGTAGTGTGAATCTGTTAATCCCAAACTCCTAATTTATCTCCACCACCCATCCCTCTGCTCCCACTGCTATCCCCTTTGGTAACCATAAGTTTATTTTCTATCTGTGAGTCTGTTTCTGTTTTGTAAATAAGTTCATTTGAGTGGATTTCTTTTTCTTTTTTTGGTTTATTGTATTCAATTTACTTGACTGGTTTGTGGAAACTTTTTTGTTTTGAAAAACCTATTTACTTTTCCAAATATTATTCCAAATACATGCTTTACAGGCTACTATGGGTCAGAAACATTCTGTAGAAGAAATTATTTTGATAGACATTGGAAATAATTTTAATAGAAGAAAAAGCTCTTGTTTATCTAGATGTGGCTATGTTCCACGGGAAGATTTCGACGTCTAAAGTCAAAGACAAAATGACTGTGGCTTTTCTTGCCACTCAGAATATTGACAATCTTCCCTTAGAGCCTACTCTTTTTTTTTCTAATATCAAAATCTAATAAGCCAAATTTATTCAAGAAAAGTTATATCCATTTTCCTTTAACCTTCTTAATCTACCAAGGACAGTAACTTATGTAAAAGCATGCCTGTTTTTTCCTTTAGAACTGCTTTTTTCTTTTTTTTTTTAAATTGGAGTATAATTGCTTTACAATGTTGTGTTAGTTTCTGCTGTACAATTAAGTGAATCAACTACATGCATACCTATATCCCCTCCCTCTTCCCCCCTTCCCCACCCCCACCCCCGCATCCCACCCATCTAGATCATCACAGAGCACCGAGCTGAGCTTCCTGTGCTTTATAGCATGTACCCACTAGCTATCTATTTTATGCATGGTAGTGTATATATGTCAATCCTAATCTCCCAATTCGGCCCACCCTCACCTTCCCACCCTGTGTCCACATGTCTGTTCTCTACATCTGCATCTCTATTCCTGCCCTGTAAATAGGTTCATCTGTACCATTTTTCTAGATTCCACATATACACGTTAATATACGATATTTGTTTTTCTCTTTCTGGCTTAGTTCACTCTGTATGACAGACTGTATGTCCATCCACATCTCTACAAATGACCCAATTTCGTTCCTTTTTATGGCTAATATTCCATTGTATATATGTGCCACATCTTCTTTATCCATTCATCTGTCTGGATATTTAGGTTATTTCCATGTCTTGGCTATTGTAAATGGTGCTGCAGTGAACATTGGGGTACATGTGTCCTTCTGAGTTATGGTTTTCTCAGGGTATATGCCCAGTAGGGGCATTGCTGTGTCATATGGTAGTTGTATTTTTAGTTTTTTAAGGAACCTCCGTACTGTTCTCCATAGTGGCTGTATCAGTTTACATTCCCACCAACAGTGTAAGAGGGTTCCGTTTTCTCCACACCCTCTCCAGCATTTGTTGTTTGTAGATTTTTTGATGATGGCCATTCTGACGGGTGTGAGGTGATAACTCACTGTAGTTTTGATATGCATTCCTCTAATAATTAGTGATGTTGAGCATCCTTTCATGTGCCCCTTGGCCATCTGTATGTCCTCCTTGGAGAGATGTCTATTTAGGTCTTCTGCCCATTTTCTGATTGGGTTGTTTTTTTTGATACTGAGCTCCATGAGCTTGTTTGTATATTTTGGAGATTAATCCTTTGTTGCTTCCTTTGCAATTATTTTCTCCCAATCTGAGGGTTGTCTTTTCGTCTTGTTTACGGTTTCCTTTGCTGTGCAAAAGCTTTTAATTAGGTCCCATTTGTTTATTTTGTTTTTATTTTCATTACTCTAGGAGGGGGGTAAAAAAAGATCTTGCTGTGGTTTATGTCAAAGACTGTTTTTCCTATGTTTTCCTCTAAGAGTTTTATAGTGTCTGGTCTTCCATTTAGGTCTTTGATCCATTTTGAGTTGTTTTTGTTTTCTGCAGTACGCGGGCCTCTCACTCTTGTGGCCTCTCCCGTTGCGGAGCACAGGCTCCGGACGCGCAGGTTCAGCGGCCATGGCTCACGGGCCCAGCCGCTCCACGGCATGTGGGATCCTCCCAGACCAGGGCACGAACCCGTGTCCCCTGCATCAGCAGGCGGACTCTCAACCACTGCGCCACCAGGGTAGCCCCGAGTTTTTTTGTGTGTGTATGGTGTTAGGTAGGTGTTAGGTGTTAGTTGGGTGTCAGGTAGCCGGTATACTGACCTTTAGAGGTAGGGCTCCAATGGACAAGGGGGTGGAGGATTGTCAAGCATCAGAATGAATTCAACCTAAGAACAAACTGGCTCTGATCCCAGCCAACTCCAAAGTCTAGCCAGAGGCCCATTAGAAATAAATGCAAATTGTAGTATCACTTTTACAAGGTTGTGCCACTTAACACTGTTAAATCCAATCAATCCATATTAAAGCTAAGCACGCTCCCATTATTAGCTCAGTCCTCACCGTGTCCCATTTCTATGAAGGCTCCTATGGAAACTTTTTGAAGCGATTTTCTGATTTACTTTTTTTTATAACATTTTTTTTTCTTGAAGCATAGTTAATTTACAGTGTTGTGTTAGATTCAGGTGTACAGCAAAGTGATTCAGAGATATATCTATATATAGACACACACATATATGTGTACTTTTTCGGATTCTTTTCCATTATGGGTTATTGCAAGATACCGAACATAGTGTCCTGTGCTGTACAGTAGGTGCATGTTGTTTATTTTATGTATAGTAGTGTGAATCTGTTAATCCCAAACTCCTAATTTATCTCCACCACCCACCCCTCTGCCCCCACTGCTATCCCCTTTGGTAACTGTAAGTTTACTTTCTATGTCTGTGAGTCTCTTTCTGTTTTGTAAATAAGTTCGCCTGAGTGGATTTCTTATGCTTTTGAAGAATAGGAGTAAATGTGTGTATCTTGGGGGATAGAGGGAAAAGGCAGGGATGTGCTCAAAGGGCCCTTAACAGTTCTATAATTCTTGGAGTCCATAAATTAAACTTGATATTAAAATAAATCTTCTAGGGCTTCCCTGGTGGCACAGTGGTTGAGAGTCCGCCTGCCGATGCAGGGGACACAGGTTCGTGCCCGGTCTGGGAGGATCCCACATGCCGCGGAGCGGCTGGGCCCGTGAGCCATGGCCGCTGAGCCTGCGCGTCCGGAGCCTGTGCTCCGCAACGGGAGAGGCCACAACAGTGAGAGGCCCATGTACCGCAAAAAAAAATAAATAAATAAAATAAAATAAAATAAAATAAATCTTCTATTTTAAACCAAAGCAATGTTTTCATTTTAATGTTTCAAGGCTTTCCATGTACCTTTTATCACATAATGCAATTCAGTTATGGACTGAGTCCTTTTAATGTACATAAGTGCTTTAAGTACTTCGCAAAAAACTGAAGAAATAGAAGGTTGGGCCCGTGTCCTCAGATGTTAACCTACCTAGAAAAAGAGAAATGCAGAATGAGGGTATCAACCACTCCTAGGGATTATTACTTGGATACCTTGTCAGACATATCTGGTTTTGATTTTGACATGACAGTAGGACTCCCAATGTGGGCTGGAAATTCCATGTGCTGTGAAAAGTGGTACGCAAGCAACCACAAAGGTTCAAGTAACCAAGAACATTTCCTGCCTGCGAGGTTTTTTGCAGGTGAAGATACCAAATGGGTGGTAGGTTAGGATTAAAGTTAGCTAAACTGTCACAGCAATGCTGTCTTCCTTTACACTCAGCCACTGTGGAGTTCTCATGGTCTAGAAGTATGTTTTGTGAGTCCTCTGCTGTGCAGGCTGACACCAAAGAAGGTCTGATCCATGCTACCACCTTGTGTTCTCCCTGGCCACATTCCTTCCCCTCTTCCCATGTTGAAATGGTTTCCCCTGATCCCGAGACTGAGGGAGCTCACCTGTGTCCACTGCACTGGCCGTCCTCCATCTGTTAATGGTTGAGCGTGCTGACCCTCTGATTTACTGTCCCCTCTACTCCCTTTTTCACCAAGGTCAGACCTAGTTTTCCAAAAGCCTACTGAGTGCGATTATATACCAGCACTATCCTCGACCTCGTGGTCAGTATAAAAATCAATGAGATTCTTCTCCCCAGCCTGGGGCTCCCACACTGAAGAGCTAGTAAGAGGGCTCGGAGGATAGATGCGTGGCGGGGGGGGTGGATGGTTGCGAAGAAAGAAAATATGAGAATGGGCATGTACACAGAGTCCTCCCGGATGGACAGACCTGAGTTTGAATCCCAACTCAGACAGGTACTAGTTCTGCAAACTCGGGCAAGAAGTTCACTATGTAAGAGACTCAGATTCCTAGTCTGTGAAATGGGAGTAATAATTCCCACCTAGCCTGGGTGGTGGTGCGGATTAGAGAGTGTAATTGCTGAGAGACGCGCTTGGTGAAATTAGCAAGCACCCAAACCAGGACCTATATAACTACAACAAAAGATGGTAAGTGACGTAAGTGCAAACAAACGGGGTGGGAGCGCCCAGCAGAAAGGCTCACAGCTGGCAGGAGGCCGCACGTGAGCTCGTGCACAGGTCAGGGGCCCTCCCAGCTTCTGGGTGATCTTCCACCTCCATGCTGGGCTGGGCAGAGCCAGGCAGCGCAGGGCTCACGGGCCGCATACCCGGGAGCCGGCAAGTCCCTGGAAAGTCGGACATTTACCTGCACATAAACCTGCACGTGTATCTGAAGCAGGCATGAGCCGGAGCTCCACCCCCTGGGGCACAGCTGAGGGGGTAGAATGGAGGGATGGAAAGGGCACCGCTGTCCTTGTTGACTTCAGCCAGTCCCGGGCATTGAAGGTCATTCCACTCTCCAGCAAGCGAGGTCACGTCATCGCCTCCTCCCCACTCTGGATATCTAAGGTGAAGTGTTTTCTCCAGCTCAGAGGCTGAGAATGGCGTGGAGGAGAAAAAGAAGGTCTGCAGGCCACCAGCAGCCCTGTCCCCTGCTCTGTCCAGCGAGGCCGAGTCCGCAGACCAGAAGAGAATCATTTCCCTGCGGTGAGTCCTCACCTTGACTCTCTCTGTTCTTTTGGCCTTTCGGGGAGGAGGGGTTGCCGGGAGGAGCTGGTGTTTCTAGTTTTATGGTGGTGGTTAAGAGTGAAGATCTCCTACAAGCAGGTGACACCCCTGAGAAAGAAGTGGGGTGTTTTTCCTTGAGATCCAGGCACTGGCACCTGCCTCCCTTTCTCAGCTCTTCCCACCAGCCTCTCTTCTCCTTCCCACTGCAGCCTCCTGCAGAATTTCTGCCGCTTTCTGAAAGCACTGATTTTGCTACATGATAAAGCCTGGGTGGGCCCCTCTCTGGCATGGAGTTAGAAGCACCTGGAAAGGCCGCCAGGGTTGCTGACGAGGCCGCCCAGGTTGGATTGTCTGCTCGGCCTGTGGGTGTGCACACCTGCTGTCTCACTTTCCTGGCAGCCACGGAAAAGAGTGGAGGGAAACCCTGCCTGGGATCCCCGGGCGGGGTGTGCACATCTCCCTGGGCTGCCCATTTCCTGGGGCCGGTGCTGGAAGCCGGGCTCAGTTTGGTCGTGGGGCTGTGAGGGGACAGGCGGTTTGAGATGTGGAGCTCTGGTCCCCGTCACTCTCAGGGGCACCAATTACGTGCTTTTTTCTTTCACTTGGAAGGAAGAAGTAGGAACTTCAAGTTGCTTTTCTTTCCTTGAAGGAGAATGGTTAAGCCAGTGATCAATTACAGGCAACTGTGGCCATTTATCCACACCAAGTGGAGGAGTAATAGCTCCCCTCCCCGCATTAGAACTGTCAGAACTGCTACCTTCTGCGTCTTTTGTCCTCTGCTAAAGGATGATTAAATAACTCCTGCTTTTCCCTTCCTTCCTGGCTACGCAGCCCATGGCTTCTCTGCAAATCCATACCTCACTCAGGACCAAGAATAAGTCTTCACTCTGCCCCCAGATTTTTCTATTCTATCACTCCCAATTCTGTCTCCATCTTCTCTGCATGACTGTTTTGATGCATCTCACTTTTAACCGTTCTTTCTATAGCTGTTTCCTGTCAGAGCATCCTGCCTCACTCACCAAACAAAGGCATCAAGCCTGTTGTTTCTTGTATCTTTCACCACTATTGGCTGGCTAGTGCAGGCGCTCTGAATGCACTGCACGTGTAACTCCACCTTCCCCAGGCTTCAGATGAGAATACCACACATCATGAGGGCATGCTTGTTCAGCCTCACCAGTGTGTTATCTGTGTAGCTGCAGAGAATCCTGCACTTGGTTGAAGGCTCTGCTCTCACTGTCTGGCAATTCTGAATTTTTTTTTTTTCCCGATACGCGGGCCTCTCACTGTTGTGGCCTCTCCCGTTGCGGAGCACAGGCTCCGGACATGCAGGCTCAGCGGCCACGGCTCACGGGCCCAGCCACTCCGCGGCATGTGGGATCTCCCCGGACCGGGGCACGAACCCGCGTCCCCTGCATCGGCAGGCAGACTCTCAACCACTGTGCCACCAGGGAAGCCCCAATTCTGAATTTCTGAATAAAAATGTTTTGCACTAGGTTTCAGGTCCTGCTCATAGTCATCTGTATGAAGTGAGACTAACACAGTTGAAAAGATACAAAGAAATAATGCATGTAAATAAGCATGCCTCCCACCCCTACCTCAGAGCCAATGCTGTGCAGACAAGCCCTTCTGCTTGTGCCTCTTGAAATCATCAAGGGTACAACTGCCCTTTTGTCACATTTGCTTACAGTCCATAGTTCTTCAAAAGGTCTGACCGTTGCCTTGACAGTACCATTAACATTTATTAATTTGAATCAGTACAGGTGATAAATTCAAATTAGTGGCTAGTATAAATAATAGGTAATTTGACATTTGTAAAAACAATTTTATTTTCAAGTAGAGTACAAATGTCTACTCATAGTTTTTTTTAAAAAGTAATTCCTAGGGCTTCCCTGGTGGCGCAGTGGTTGAGAGTCTGCCTGCCGATGCAGGGGACGCGGGTTCGTGACCCGGTCTGGAAAGATCCCACATGCCGCGGAGCGGCTGGGCCCGTGAGCCATGGCTGCTGAGCCTGTGCGTCCGGAGCCTGTGCTCCGCAACGGAAGAGGCCACAGCAGTGAGAGGCCCGCGTACGGCAAAAAAAAAAAAGTAATTCCTAGGATTCTAAAGAAATTTATATCTGTGAATTGGTTCAATGGCCAGTAACTGAATCCAAATCTCTGTGCCTTGAATTGATGAGAGATATTTTGCCTCTGGTTTGAGCACTGTGGACTCAAAACTGCTGCGGGCAGCAGAGGCCTGGGACATCACATAGTCAGTCACATAGTCAGTCTCTTCACAGCTGAGAAAGCCACAGTCCAAAGTCTCTCTAACTTCATTTCTGTCCCTCTGTCACACCCATATGCCACCCAAATTGCTTAAGAGTCTTCTTAAATTCACTTTGAACCAAACATTATTTTAACTGAGCCTCATTCTAAAGAATACTATGGTGGAATCATGAATTTCATGTGCCATTTTTTCCCCCCAATAAACAGAAAAAAAATCTACATAATTGTATCACAAAATTTTTCCATGTGTATACCTCTAAAAATCATGCATGGATTCCACTTTGAAATGGCTGGGTTTCGCTGTACGGTTGAAGATGCAAATTCTACTCAAATGAAGAGCCAGGACTAGAATCACCTTAGAAAGAAATCCGGGAGCTCTGACCTCTGCCCTTATGAGAACAAAGGAAGGACTTCCAAACATGTTCTTTTTTATCCTGATTTCACTTCTAATTTCCCACTCCGGGATGTTCTCTCTTTTCCCCATACCCAATTCCTGCTCATCCTGTTAGGCCCAGTGTATTAAACCCTCACTGACCTGCTGGTCTCTTCTCTTACCTCCTGTTGGACTTAACTGTCTCTATACCGCCTCCTAACGCCTATGATATGTATTGTTTTGATGCTACATCATGTACTGCCTTTTCAAAAAGATGCTTGATATGCGCACAGGCTCCTTAAGGATAAGGACTGTCTCGTGTGCCCCGAGGCATTTAACATTAGCCTCACTCAATTAACACTTGTTAAGTATTCACAGAATTCTGGATTGAACTATAGCTGCAGTTTCAATAATCAGCCTCCAGTACTCCTCTTTATACTGCTTAAAATACTTTTGAGATGATATAATTACTTTCACAGCTCAGTCGATACTTTTCCCTTCCATAAGGTACGGTTTCTTCAGTTTGGGATCCCGCCTGCTGAAATCACCCCGTCTCCCACACCGTGTCCTTAGAGTTCTGAGGGATTATCGATGTCTAGAAGAGAAAAATCAATGTCAGGCTTTCTTGTGAGCTGGTATAATAATCAAGATGTATTATTGGTAGCGTAAAAAATTCACCTTATGGACTTCTTGGATTTTTCTTCCTCAGGTCGAAATCCAGTTTTGATGGTGCCTCTTTAGCAAGTGAGAAGAATGACTGTAAAACAGAAAGCAAGAATGACTCTAAGATTGAAAGGAAAAAGGCCTCATCTTCCAGCCAGGTAATTTGGGAATGAAATGTGTATTGTCTCAGAGGGTGACAGAAGCATTGAAGCCAATGGGAAGAGGGAACGCAAGGGTCAGGACTAAGGTAGGCACAGATTTTAGAGAATCAGGAAGAAAGGACCAGCTGCAGTTCCCTCGGGCGAGCTTTCATCAACATTATATTTCACAGCTGACCATGCGGCACATGCAGAGGGGCAGTGAGTACTGAGAGTCATGTGCTTGTCTAATAATTAGTGGAGACCAGGAGAGGTGTGACATCCTTGCACTACAATTAAAGAGTGTGATAAGGCACCCGTGTGAATAGAAGGCTTCCCAACTGCACACAGAGGAGGAAAACCTGGGAACAGGGTCATGATTCTTCTTTGGAAGCAATTTGGGGTCTGCTTCAAAATACACCCAGATGGGTAACAAAGCCCAGTTCTGTGTCATAGAATATGACATACTGGGGCCAACGGTTTGGGGCTTTCTGACACTTCACTCCTAAAATACTTGAATATGTATCTCCTAAGAACTAGAATAAGAAACTGTTGGCTCACCCAAGAAATTTAACTAAATAGTAAATATACAAAAATATTACTAATATAAAATCCATTTTCGATTTCCACAATTGTCTCAGTAGTGAATGTCCTCTATAAAGATTTTTTGCTCCCCCCTCTAGAATCCAGTTGAACCATGCATTGCATTTATTTGTCATGTCACCTTTAATTTAGATCAGTCCCTACCTTTTTTAAAATTTTATTTTTATTAATTTCACATTTTTGAAGACTCCATGGCCCAGGATATTTTTAACTCAAGCACGCAACCAATGCTCACTGTAGCCATTAAAAAGAAGCTCTCGGCAAAGCCCTGATAGAACACCTAGCTTTAATCAAGGAAACTTTCTGGATGCAAGATGTACTCCAAGGAAGCAGCGTGAGCTAACCTACTTTATGTGAGGTGTTCATCTATAAACGAGTTGACTTGAGGGGACCATCTGTCATACGCATGACCTGTCTGAAGCTCTTCTTTATGGCAATAGTAGGGCCTTTCTGCCATTGAGACTACTCCTAGTTTGGATAATGCATCATCAAGGGCCAACTTGTGGTATCTCTCTGTTCCGTTCATAAGACTCTGCCTGCTAGGATGCTTTTGAAGAAAAGTGGTCCTGTGGATGGAGGACCCAGCTCTACCTCTTAGTAGCTGTGTGGAGCCAGTTAAGTCGCTCAGAATCCCTGAGGCACAGGGTCCTGAACTGACATCAGTTCCCAGGTTACTGTGGGGCTGGGAGTGGTGTTTTGTGAAAGCATTTTACAAACTATAAATTGCTGTCTATACATTGTTGTCACAAGTGGAAACAGATGAAAATGAAGTGATTTGCAGCATTTCAGACTCTTGGGCCTTCTACCGCCCTGGAGAGTTAAGTCTTTTGTGTGAAATCCTACTTGTCACCTCCCCCTGACACTGGTTAAGGGAACGCCTTCACAACAGTAACAGTCACAGTGACAAACCGGAGATGTATTACCCCATTTAAGCCTTACGGCATCCCTCTGAGGCAGCTGCTGGCACAGGAGAGAAAACTGGCCCAGAGAGGTTAAGTAACTAGGCCAGGATCACGTGCCACAGAAGAGGTACAGCTAAAACTTAAACTCAGGGTAATCTGATACAGGGCTTTTAACCACTACCCTCTTCTGAGAGTACTCACTGGGACCTTTAGTGCCCTGGGATCCACTACCTGGTGAGATTTCTTAGAATTGTGTCTCATTTCTTATTAGGGACATCCTTGTCCAGCTACTGCTGCAGAAGGCTGACCACCAGCTACTTCAGGATTATAGATATATAAATGTCCAGTCCGCAAGTCACTCATCTTGTTGGAAAATGAAACCTTTGTGCCCTGCCTTCCACTGTTTTTCACTGAAGGGTTGTGCTGGGAACTATAAGATCAGGGAGAATGAACTCCTAGGATTCTCTGTTCAGGGTGGGGAGATTTGTTACATAATTTAGATTGAAGTTAAAATTCGTGATGTTTGAGAAGAACAAGAGCGGTGATGCCTGTGTTTTGTCGCCCTTGTAGGACAAGGCAAACATGCACTTCCACAAGCTGTTTCTGGATGTCCCCACTGAGGAACCCCTGAGGCAAAGTAAGTTCTGACTTGGTTGACTTTGAAAAGATGCTAATTGGTTTGGGGGGAGAAAGAGTCTGGGGACTGAATCACCAAGGGGAATAGGTTTTTGAAAGTCATGATGTAACAATAACACCGACCTCACTCAGCTTTCACCCAGCACCTTGAAAGATAAGGGAGTCGAATGGGAAAGTGACCTCCTGCACGTGATATGGAACCATCCGAGGGGATTCCCGAATTTCCTCGCCTGGCATACTAACTGCTGAAATGTGTTGTGATTGGATCGTGCTGAGTTTTAAGATAATAAGACCAGAGCAAGAGAGGCCACTAGAGGAAGACAACACAGACCTAGGTGGACAGACATGTCAACCCCTGTGCTGTGCAGGGCTCAGTAGTCACACCTAAACACCTGGCCCAGCACGACGTTCAGCACCTGCTCCACTCCGCTGAGCGCATATGGGGCCCAGGGTTCCATTCCAGCTTCCCTCAGTACACAGATGCTAAGGCAGCATGCTGGCTTCCTCCCACCATCTCCAAACAGGAAGGTGTGGGTCATGTGCTCTCCCCACAATGAGACCATCTATTTCAAAAGGAGTCATTAGTGACCATACCAGGGAAGAAAGGGCAGCAGTGCCAACATTAGCACAAGGATAACACACCTTTCCAAAGAGAGGAGTTTTGTTTTGTTTTGTTTTGTTTTTTTGCGGTATGCGGGCCTCTCACTGTTGTGGCCTCTCCCGTTGCGGAGCACAGGCTCTGGCCGCGCAGGCTCAGCGGCCACGGCTCACGGGCCCAGCCACTCCGTGGCATGTGGGATCTTCCTGGACCGGGGCACGAACCCGTGTCCCCTGCATCGGCAGGCGGACTGTCAACCACTGTGCCACCAGGGAAGCCCCTTGCCTTTCCATTTTGATGTTTATACTGAAGTTTCTAAGACTTGGAATTAAAAAACAAACTCTCATCTCCATAGCATTATTACACTAAAGATGACTGAAAAAGAGGTGAGAGATCTTTTGAGCATGTGAGTGTATTATCTCTGCACATCTCTGAGTCACCAACTTATATACATAATTTTCATTTTAAATGGAAATTCTAAATGATGTTATACCTGTATATATTTTCCCAGGTTTTACCTGTGCTCTACAGAAAGAAATATTATACCAAGGGAAGCTCTTTGTATCAGAAAACTGGATTTGTTTTCATTCCAAGGTCTTTGGAAAAGACACTAAGGTTGGTGTAATTTTTCAAAAAGCTAATCCTGCATTTTCTTATATATTGTGACTATTAATTGTTTTAAATGTAGCAATGTTTATAAATATTTGTGTCATTATTATTCCTTTGTACCAAGTTTCCTTTACTATAGTTCCAAATACTACAGGTTCTAAATGCCTCTAGATAACACAAACTTCCCTTTTTCCCTAAACAGCACTCTCTCATTCATTTCCTTATATATATATATATATATCTCCCACAATCCTACCTTAAATCCTTTTTACCAAGATGTCACCAGTACACTCTTAAAAGTTCTTCATATGGAGAATGTGTCATAATTTGTTTCAAAGACACACATTAAACCCAAAACAATTCTTTAAAGAAATTTGAATTTTACACCATATTCACACAGTTACCATCAGAGATATCTAAGCAAACAGGCCTATAAATAAGATACTTACTAGAGCTCATTTTGTCACCAGCACAAAATGAGCAGGATTTGGAGCATTTTAGGCCTAGTCTGGGGGAGTCACATACCCACAATCCCCGGTGAACACGGACATCTTTTCCTTCTCACTAAACACAGATCTGGGGGAGCAGAGGCCCATGATACCTGAGCCATTAAGGAGAACAGCCTGAAGAAGTTGGCAGTTTTCCCAGGGCACTGTCTTCTAAAACGAGGCCCTTGGGACTTTGGCATGAGAAGGGAAAAACTAATTCCATCCCACTGACATTCTTTCCCTTTGAGGTGTGATGTCACATCACACAGTTCAGTCAGGCCACCAGAACAAAGTGTCAGAGAAACACCTGGGCTGTTTGCAGTACGCGGGCCTCTCACCGTTGTGGTCTCTCCCGTTGTGGAGCACAGGCTCCGGACGCGCAGGCTCAGCGGCCATGGCTCACAGGCCCAGCCGCTCCGCGGCATGTGGGATCTTCCCGGACCGGAGCACGAACCCGTGTCCCCTGCATTGGCAGGCGGACTCTCAACCACTGCGCCACCAGGGAAGCCCTCAGTGAGATTTTAATCATTCTGATTCGTGATTATGAATAAGCAGCTTTTATACTCTAGAAGTTGCTGATTAAAAACTCCTTTTGTTTTGACTGGTAGATATGTTTTATTTAAATATTCTCCCTAAAGCCACTGGCAGTCTTATAAATAAAGACCACTTAACAAATATAATGGAAATTCTTTATTTTGGTTTTGAGTCAGCAGACTAACATCAAACATGTAATTTTTATTGTACAGAGTTATGTTTAGATAAACATAGTTTAGATTCACAGTATTATTTGAATCAGTATAATGCAAAGCAATGTTGAATAGTACTGCACCATATTTCTAGATTTCTGGATTATAAGCACTTGTTCATGAAGTGGGGAAAGGAACTGAGTAGTACTGATCTCCAACTCCATGGGATAAAGACAGTTCTCAGGAATAGAGAGAGCCGACACCTCTGACCAAAGCAGCAGGGGTTGAAAACAGTAGTGAACAAAGAATTAGCCTTGGGCTTCCCTGGTGGCGCAGTGGTTAAGAATCCGCCTGCCAATGCAGGGGACATGGGTTCGAGCCCTGGACCAGGAAGATCCCACATGCCGTGGAGCAGCTAAGCCCGTGTGCCACAACTACTGAGCCTGAGCTCCAGAGCCCACAAGCCACATCTACTGAGCCCGTGTGCTGCAACTACTGAAGCCCACATGCCTATAGCCCATGCTCTGCAACAAGAGAAGCCCGCGCACCACAACGAAGAGTAGCCCTGCATCGGCAGGCGGACTCCCAACCACTGCACCACCAGGGAAGCCCTGTTTGTATTTTTTGATGCTAGTAAAATTAAAGGCATGTATCACATTGCATCTAGGCTCCAACAGAGAAGTGATTCATGCTTTATTTCTCAAATGTTATCTAGTCACTTATACTCATGAAGCAATTGAGTGAAACTCCTTCTTAAGGGTGTTCCATGCCTTACATTCTACAAAAATCCAAATTTATAGCCCCTTATCACTGTGTTTGTGTTGCTGCTGAGAAATGAAATTAGGCTCATTTTTGTGTCATCATCTATCTTGGAAGATCTTAAATTCTTTTTCCCAAAGTAATCCCAATTTATCACTTCTGAATTATCTCCCCAACTTCAAAAGTTTCGTGGGTAGAGTTCTTTGGCAAAATAGTTTTTTTTCTTTAGTGTCTAATTTAGATTAGCCCCTCATTCTTCATAGTCTTCCCATCAGGAACTTGGAGGGGCAGTAGAACAACTCCATCTCATAAACCTAAATATGAACGCAAACGTTCTAAATTAAAATGTAAGAAAATTGAAAGCTTAGTTTTGGTCCTTCAAGCTGCCAGTACTAACATAAGCCCCTCCTCTTCCCCACTGACCTTGTTGATCTCTTTCAGAATATGTGAAGCATTTTTACAAAATGTATGTTCATGTGAGTGTGTGCACCTGTGGAGGGATTCAGGCCCTTTTCTTTTTACCAGGAGTGGGGGTGACTCTCTTTTCAGGGATCAAAGTGATGTGATCCATTTTCCTTTGAGATCAAACCTGGTTGAAGGGCTGTAACATAAAAATATCAGAAACATCTACTATTCTTCGCAGCATCTGGTACATTCTTGCAGTACCTTGTATGAAAAAGAACCCCTATTTTGGATCAGATTGGTTCAAATTCTATCTTTTTAACTTATTTATGACCTTGAGAAAGTCATATACCTCTCTAAACATACAACCTTATCTCTTAGAATGTCTACATTATAGGACTATCATATTTAAATGAAATTGTCATCTGGTAAATAGGTATTGATAATGGTAGCTGCTGTAATTGTCATTGTTGTTATTCTTTATTGTTTGAGCCAGAAAAGAACTTAAGAGTGCTTGTATTTCACCCATCCTCTTTTTTATGAGACAGATGAGGAAATGAATGACACTTTTATTGAGTGCTAGGCATTTTCTATCTATTATCTCATTTAATCCACAGAAAATCCTGGGAAATAGGTAAGACTGTCTCTATAAGTCAGGAAACCAAGGCCAAGAAAGGATAGCTTACAAGGTTGATTAAGTCATGTGGATAGTAATAGAACTGAGAATTCAGGCCCCAGACTCACTGTTCAAAAACTGTTCTACTATACCAGTGCTTTTCAGCCTTTTTCCCTAAGGACAGAAAAGAGCAGGGTGTGTGGAGATGAGCTCAATGTAGATGACCACAAGCATGTAACTTCTTCAGAGCCTTGGGATTACCTTTAAAATGGCTGTACATTTTGCATTCTATTCGCCATGTCCCAGGTTTCCCACCAAACCCTTCTGCAGACTTGATGATCCAGATTTATCCTCCAGCTTTGTAAATACCACGTTGAGATCTCGGTGACACTCTTCTAAGACTCACTTTTTTTCATGGAGGCTGGAGAGCTTGCTACTGGTTTTATCTTTTTTTATTTTTTCCTTTAACATGAAGATTTGGAGTCCTGCTCTGTGAAGCCTGAACCCATGTTAACTCAGTGATTCTGTTTCAGATCTCTATTCCGGCTTTCTCGGTAACCCTGATAAAGAAAACCAAAACTGCCCTTCTGGTGCCAAATGCCCTGATTATAGCGACAGTCACAGACAGGGTGAGTACGCAGCAGGCGCGGGCACCCTGCTTTGTCCTACTCTGGGTTTCATTGCCTTAGGGGCTTCTTGCGGAGGACCAGGACCCTGAACCATAATACCATGAATCAGGAGTAACTCTGTAAGACTAATGTTTGAAATCACAGCCTTTAGACATTTGTGTAGTGTTGTTTCCCCTGACAAGGTGATTTATTCTAATGTAACAGTTGCCAATTTTGAATTTCCTGCTG